AATTGTGTACGTGAAAATATTACCTATAAACAGCTCTGGGAGGAGCTGAGTAAATTGTCTCACGTCACACAACAGCAGATTCGACTAGGAGCAGCCACATTTCAGATATCTTAAAATATAATTGTGACTAGTCGAAACGGAATTAGAGATATCTCTAATTACCTTTGCGTATGTGTGACGCATCTATTGAAGATATCTATGACGTCATTACAGATATCTTAAATGGAGTTTTGACTAGTCATAAAGTATTTAGAGATATCTCTAATCCGATTTCTTACTAGTGCAATTATAATTGCAGATATCTCTAATTGTCATTGTGACTAGTCGAATTATAATTATGACTCGTCAAAATACAATTGTTCCTATCTTAAATTATATTTATGGATAGTCAAAACAAACATTTAAATGCTAAAACGGCTTGCGATAATGTGACACTCTAATAAAGGACAGAATTGTTGTAGGCATTCGCGACTACGCACTCAGGGCCAGGCTGCTGAGAGAAAATGATTTAGACTTGCATAAAGCCATTCAAATGTGCCACGTTGCCGAGGCGAGCCGCACGCAGCTCTCTCAAATTCAAGTACAGCACACGCAGAAGTTCACGCAGTGAGACAAACGCGAACAAGACACGGAACACAATCCAACGATCCAGTCAGGTCACATTTCATAGTCGTAATAGCATTGTAGATATCTCGAATGTATATTATGACTAGTCATAATCACATTGTAGATATCTTAATTCCAATTAACGACGAGTCAAAATTGCAGAATAGATATCTGGAATTGGCTAGTGACTAGTCAAAACTAAATTATGACTAGTACATCAAGAAGTATTTAATGCTAAAACGGCTTGTAGCGAGGGGTATCTCCATTATTCCCCCCCCGGCCCCGTAAGTCCTGCCCTGCTGGTGTGCATCTTGTGACAAAACAAGGGCACTGACATATTTCAAGATCAATCAGTGCAAGTTTCTTTCAGTTGAAACAGCTCAGACTTACATTTTAGTCGGGGACTAGGCTTAAGCCTTGTCTGTGAAACCGGGGGTTTATGTTTTACTACCAAATTATATGTAATATATAAGTATGATTAATATTTAACTGACACTGCAAAGGTTTCCGCGACCTCTCGCGAGATCTCGGCAAAAAGTCTCTTTTATTTCCAGAACATGATGCATGATGGGATACACTTGGCCTCGTATTCTGCTCCGGAGCGGTATTCAAGATAGTATGGATTTTGTGTGTGTTGAGGGAACTGTGCTTTGTTGTTTTTAAGACCCTGGACAGTCTTGCGCACACACTTCCTGTTGTGTGCACGCGCTCTCAAGTGGCCAAGACCACAAGTGTGGGTATTTGGACAGGCCCTAACTTGAAGGCATCCGCCTACTTGTGGCATAAGCTCCTCCCACTTTCGCGAAAGTGACATCAAATGACCACAAGAGGGCGCCAAAATCTTCTCTGCTTGGACACCACAGATTAATTAATTAATTCATCTATTTGTCATGTTCAATGAAATATATAATGAAGTAACAATTTTAAAAAGTTAATGAAAGTAAAACATTTATAAATACATGTAAAAATATATTTTTGGAGAACAGATAAAATGAAAAGAATATATAATGGATTATCAAATTAAAGCAGAATATAAACAAAACGCATTAATATATTAGCAATAAATGTTTTAATATAATTGTATACATATATTATAACTGATTTACGAATGTAATGTTTAGTAATTGCATTTAGTGTGTGTTCAGTGTTTCAAATTATTGAAATATCATTTAAATAAATATATAATTTATTACATGTCCACCGTAGAGATACTCACCGTATTTATAATGAACCCATCATATTTAAATTATGATATATTAATAATATTATATACTGAAACATCTTATTTATTGTTACTACTGTAAAGCCATATTAAATTATTATGGGATCTCATTCAAGCAGTATACGAAGCTTTCAGAATCTTTCTGTTGTTGTTGTTTTGTATTTTTAAAAAGAACATTTTAATGTAATACTTAAGTGCATATTTTGAATATTATTAAATACAAAATAAACAGAAAATGGTACAATCGTTGCTGATGTTGTTGTTGTTTTGAACAGGTAGCTTAAATGAAGATATTACAGAAAACATTACTTTTATTATTTCTTCTCCCACAAAATGTGTTGCTCCATCAATGTTCACTAAGAATATTGTATATTTTAATAACAAAAAATAATAATAATCAGGGAAAAAATAGATTTTGTTGGAAAAATGAAAGAAAATAGAGAGAGTGTGTTTGTTTTCTAAAAAATCAAACGTGGCTGAAGAAACAACGTATTCACATATCCACATATAATAGCATTATATAATATTAATATTCTATAGTACTTTATTTTCTTACATTATTCGTATTTTCTTTACATTTATTCCTCTGCTGTCAGTTGAATTCTCTTTAACATGGGTATTTTTGTGATTGTGAAATAAAAGTCAAGTCAAGTCAAGTCACCTTTATTTATATAGCGCTTTTAACAATACAGATTGTGTCAAAGCAACTGAACAGCATTAATTAGGAAAATAGTGTGTCAATAATGCAAAATGATAATAGTAAACACTCATTTTTCAGTTAAAGGCAGTTCATCATTGAATTCAGTGATGTCATCATCAGTTCAGTTTAAATAGTATCTTTGCAATCAAGTCAACAATAACGCTGGAAATGAAGTGTCCCCAACTAAGCAAGCCAGAGCCGACAGCGGCAAGGAACCAAAACTCCATCGGTGACAGAATGGAGAAAAAAACTTGGGAGAAACCAGGCTCAGTCGGGGAGCAGTTCAATTAAAGGGCTGCAGCAAAGTCACATTGTGCAGAAGACTCATCTGGTTCCTGTGGTCTTGTCCCGGTGGTCGTCTGAGACAAGGTCATTACAGGGGATCTGTATCTGGGGCTCATCTAGTTGTCCTGGTCTCCGCTGTCTTTCAGGGCTGTAGAGGTCCTCTCTAGGTGCTGATCCACCATCTGGTCTGAATACGTACTGGATCCGGGTGACTGCAGTGACCATCTGATCTGGATACAGACTGGATCTGGTGGCAACGGTGACCTCGGAATAAAAACTCTAAGACTATGTGCCATATTTCTAGAGAGAAGAGCGAAAAGCTTTGCATTATCATCATCACACTCTGTTGGGAAATCTGACAACAAGATTCACAACATCTCACACAATTCACAGCACTGCTCCCCAAAAAAGGTCACTTATTTTACAGTTTTTGACAACTATTATCGTTTTAACCACCTTCAACAAAACTTAGAACACTGTGAACAAAAGTTTGGAATATTTAAGGTGTTTTAATATTTTTGAATTAAGTCTCTTCTGCTCAGCAAGGCTGCATTTATTTGATGAAATAGTATTATAAAATGTATTCTATTCTAATATTGTAAACTGTAATTGATTGCTGTGATCAAAGCTGAATTTTCAGCATCATTACTCTTCAGTATCACATGGTTTTTCAGAAATCATTCTAATATTATATTAACAAAAAAATTAACATTTGTGCTGCTTAATGTTTTTTTGAGGAAACTGTGATACATTTGATCATTTTAATACGTCCTTGCTGAATAAAAGTATTAATTTCTAACTTATCCCAAACGTTTGACTGGTAGTCTATACTTCTACACAAAAGACCTAAAGTCTTTAACCCTGAGCACACTCTGGGATTGTGTAACAAAACCACATCTGCAGAGAACAGATCATGCGACTGATAGAGAGATAAAGCTGTATTATAATCACCGAGATTGGGAGGTGTTACTGTAACACATGTTTCAACATCTGTAACATCTCACCTTTCATCCGAGCAACAGCAGACGTGTTACAAACCAAAACCTGTGCTGAGAGCATTCTGTGAGGCAGAATAAAGCAGAGCCGATCAAACTGAGTTTTAAAACATTTAGTTGTATTATTTTACATTTACTTTGTCTTATCTTCTGAAAAATGTTGTTTATGCTTAAAACAAGAAACAATATCTGTCAGTGGGATCAGAACTCACTTCATTTTCCAAAAAAAAAAAAAAACATCTTAAGTTATGTTGCTACCCAAGTAAATGCATCCCAATTTAAGTGTTTATATATTTGCACTGAAAAACAAGACAAAAATACTGAGGAAGAGAATCTTTTTTTTTTTTTGCAGTTTATTTTTTATCTGTATGTTTCACTTACATAGTGAAACTATGATATTTTTGTAACATTGACACATTAATTAGTAGTTTCTGGTCATTTTCAGTTGCAAATAATCAACACTTAATGCATTGTTAATATGCGTGTTAATATGGCTCACACTGATTGTGTTAAAATTCTGCACGTTTTGATGCATATTTGTATTCAATTTTAACATTTAATGTTATTTTTTACTTGAAATAAATGACGTTTTTAAAGTTTATAGTTAAAAGCCAACTTCATATTTGTGTTTTTGTAATGACATGAAACATCACAATGGGTGATTTATTAAATTCTATTAAAAAAAAGGAAAAAGAAAATGGAAACATTTGTTATTGTAATTGTTTTACCTGTTTTGTGATGTGGCCTTCATTTAACATCAAGACAAATGCTGAAAAACTCTGAGACATATAGTAAAAGTGTCTGGAGTATAAATGATAATGATAATGCAAAAATGCAAAAGAAACGGGATGAAATATAACTTAACCTGTGCAAGATTTGATCTGTGTTTTTCTGCAAACATGCATGAAAAGACAATCTATGAATGTGTTCAGTGAGAGCCTGTGACACATTTTTAACACTTATTTTTCAACACAAACCTTTCATTTTTAACCCTCACCCATACACACATCTGGTGGCTTGACCTTCAGTAATTCTTCTAGTTACAAGGAAATCACATGGAAGAAGATTTTGTGCTCTTGATTATATATGCTCATGTCCATCACCTCCACCCCCCATGATGATCTAGAGCCCTATAAGAGCATCTTCTGCTCGGTATGAGGCACAACGCCTGCTGTTATTATCGGTGAATCTCAGAATTTTACAAGACTAGGCAAGAACAGTAAGTGCATGTTTTAAAGCTTTTACAACAGGCAATTCAAAGTCTTCATGTCTTTATATTTATAAGTGACCACAGAAGTATGAATGACTTTAAGCTCTAATTAAAATGTGACTTGCAAACTAGTGAAAACTACACTAGCAACTGCACTTCAAAAGTTTGGAATAATTAAGATTTTTTTTGAAAAAGTCTCTTCTGCTCATCAAGGCAGCATTTATTTGATCAAAAATACAGTAAAAACTGTAATATTGTGTAATATTATTACAATTTGAAACAGCTGTTTTCTATGTGAATATATTGTAAAATATAATTTATTTCTGTGATGCGCAGCTGTATTTTCAGCATCATTACTCCAGTCTTCAGTGTCACATGATCTTCAGAAATCATTCTAATATGCATATTTGCTGCTCAAGAAACATTTCTGATAATTTTTTCTTATTATTTTTTATGATTACAAACCGTCATATACTATTCATCTATTCATCAAATAATCATGAAAAAAAAAATTTCAAAAAAATTTTCAAAAAAAAAAATGAAACAGCAATAACAATTCATAAAATGATTATGAATAGAAATTATAATAATTTCAATACTGTGATATAATAATATTACTGTGATTTTTACTAAATATATATATATATATTAAAAAGATTTTCAAACTATAGATTTTAACTTTACTGTCAACTCTATTGTTTTTGTTTTTAGATGGGAACGTGCACATCTCTGGAAAGGTACGTAAGACCTGGGCTGCATTACTTTAAACAGAGTTCATACAAATACTGTTTAACGAAATTCCAGGACTGGAGGACTTTTCAAGCACTGTTTTTGGTTTTCAAGGACGACAATCAGAGCTCTCACTTCAATTCTAAAAAAGATAAATAGATAAAACTGTACAAATAATGTATAACACATGCAACATATTAAAAGGATGAGAATTTTAGCAGAGCTTTCAGTGCGCAGAAGAGCATGAACAAAGAGGTTATCAACGTCTTATATGATTTTTATTAAAAGATGCTTTAACAGAAGACTTAAAAACCCATTTAATTCTGTCCCAATTAAACAGTAATACTTCTTGCAATTAACGTTTTGCATTCAATAGGATTTTGTCTCACAGTTTTAATTATTTCATTTAGTTTTTAACTAAGAAACCCTTTTCTGTACAATGTAATTATGCATTCTCTTGCTTTGAAAAAATATTATTATTTAAAATAATATTATTTTAATAACTTTAAATAAATGTTATATTTAATATTATATTTTAATAATTTTAACTAACTAATAATTTAAAATAAAAAATCTATTTGATTTTAAAATAAATCAAAACTAAAATACTACAAATATTATAAAATTCTAAAATAAATTATTTTGTAACTTAAGATATGTATATTGTCTTTTAATAATTCAAGCACTTTCAAGTACCTCTTTATAAACATACTGTGGTTAATTGGGACATTTTTTGCAATTGAAATGACTGTCAAAAGGTGTCCCAGTTAACCTGAATTCACTCCTAAATTTCAGAAAATCAAATCAGTACTTCAAGCACCTTGAACAAAGCCTGTAAACTGGATCATTCTGGGAATAACTGATCACAAGACTAAATTGAACTCAAATGTAAACTCAAAAAATATATACTATAGCAGCTTGTGATGTTCAATTCAGTCTGTGTGTCTTTGCAGCCACAGCAGCGGTGAGGTGAGAATCAAACACTCTCTGAATAAGAATGAAGAGGCGTTTGTAGTCAAAAGAAGAAAAACTGTTCTAAAAAGCCTGCAGAAACTCAAGATACACTGCAGTAAGGTAAAATATCGTATACTCCTATGACTGCCATTCTCCAAATGGTGTTGTAGCTGATGAACAATGTTTTCAAAATCAAACCGTGTGCATTTCAGGATGCGGTGCCAAACATTGCATTACTGGGTTCTGGAGGAGGACAAAGAGCCATGGTGGGTTTGCTGGGATCCCTGGTTCAGCTTGATAAAGCGGGTCTTCTGGACTGCATCCTTTATCTGAGCGGAGTCTCTGGATCCACCTGGTACGAACCCTGAGAAACAACAAACGGTGAAGTCGATCAACACCCCAAAGCTTGACAGTCATTATTTCCTCTTCATTGGTCAACATTTTATTCCATAACGTTACGCAGTTTTGATGCTGTTTTATGTCTGATGATCGTGTTATAATACATGTGGAAGCATCTGTTGTTTCGGTTTCTTCTTCACTTGTGTTTTTTTTTGTGTGTGGAAATTCTGTACAGAAGATGTGTACTAGCGCCCCCTACCATATAACAATGAAAACACGGCCAAGAGACTCAGCGGTCCAGGAGTCAGATGGGGAGACGCATTTGCCAAACTGAAGAAATATTACTATGAGAAAGACATCTTCAGCTTGACTGACCTCTGGGCAGCGATCGTCGTCACAACATACGTCAAAGAGGTCTGTAACTACCCTTACCAAAAAGTAGTATACTTCAAGTTTATTTTAGTTAGTATACTTAAGTAAAGTTCAAGTATATTTTTAAGTATACGTTATGTAGTAAGTATACAAATATCAGTGTACTAGTAGTATACTTGTAAGTGTACTATTTCAATACTCCTTGGGACTAAATTGGCCCACTTTCTAGTATATAAAAGTATACTTTAAGTATAACAGTAGTAAACGTTGAGTACACAACTAGTTTACATCAAAAATTTTAGCTTGTACTGCAACTACACTAAAAGTGAACTTATATGAATACTGATAGTTTACTAATTAAATAATTGTAGCAGTTTTAGTACACCTTGAAGTATAGTCTCAGTAAACTGATAGCTTAGTAGTTTTATACTGCAAGTATACTCGTAAGTTTTCTTTAAATGAACTTTACATCATACTTTAAGTATACTACTAAGTCTTCTTTTTCGTAAGGGTATTCATAACACAGCCAGGGCTGCCACTCTTAAAAATAAAACGTCTTTACTGGAATTTATGTTTGCATGAAAAACCTTTAAAATCAATGGAATCTTTCCATTGCACTAAAGGTGGAAACATGTTCTTTAGATCATTAAATTGTTCTTAACACTAGGGGAAAAAATGGTTCTTTTTAAAAAGTGATCGCTGAAAGGTTATTTGGGGAACCAAAAATGATGGTTCTTATGGCATGGCTGTGACAAACACATGGAACCTTTATTTTTTTAGAGTGCAAATAGAGAAAATAAGTAGAGGTAGAAATTGCATTTCTAAATAAATTGCACAAATAACGTGAACATGAAATATTGATTTGAGTAAAATAAAGTCCCTCAAATTGAGATTGTGATTGAGTGGGTGACAGTTTACAGTTTGTTCTGCTGTATTTGTTGCTCTTGGCTTTTAAAAGGAAGAGTTTCAGCTTAAATATTATTTTAAACAGAAAACACAATTATCGTGGAAACGAGTTATGCAGTGGTCAAATTATAAAAAAACAAAAACAATATTGACATATTTCAGATTGTGCACTGCTGAAAAAAACAATAATCAAATAAGTACAGATATTATCAAATTCACAATAAAAAACTATATAAATTCATTATCATTATAACAATTTGAGTGAACAGTTAAAAGTTTTATAAGTATTAATTTAGGAAAATGCATCAGGGAAGAATTTTGAGCCCTTTATTGAACGTACCAATAGTAATTTACTTGAATTATTATGAAATGGTAATGAGAAAGACTTGAGCAAAATATTGGGGAAAAAATGACAAGAATAGTGTTACAGCATTGAATAGTTTTTACATGGCACTAATTATTTTAGTTAGAAATAATGTGTTTAATGCAAATGTTTAATGTTTTTGAAAGAAGTCTCTTCTGCTCATCAAGGCTGCATTTATTTGATCAAAAATACAGTAAAATCAGAAATATTGCAATTTAAAATTACTTTTAAATATAATTTATTCCTGCGATCAAAGCTGAATTTTCAGCATCATAACTCCAGTCTTCAGTGTCACATGATCTTCAGAAATCATTCTAATATGCTGATTTGCTGCTCAAGAAACATTTCTGATTAGTATCAATGTTGTGCTGCTTTAATTTAAAGTGAAATTGTCTAAAGAAATTGTCCCCAGGCTCCTCTACAACAATAACATAATGCTGAGTCACAGGTCAGCATAACAAGCACAAAAATGACCCGTTTCCCATCTACACAGTGATCGACAAGCAGTGCAAACAGAACAGAGAAGGAGGTCTGTATTTTTGTCTGAAACAGACAGAGAGTTATTGTGCTCGTGTCAGCTGTTATATGGTGGTGTTTTCTGTCTGCAGACCCCTGGTTTGAGATCAGTCCACATGAAGCAGGTTATTCTCTCATTGGAGCGTTTGTGAAAACGTCCAGCTTCGGCAGCCAGTTTGACGACGGCTGTAAGATCAAGGACCAGCCTGAAATGGACATGCTGTACCTGCAAGGTAACAAACTCTGTCACAGGAGAGTTTACTAATATTTGCGATATCAGCTTACACTGTACACCACTGAAGTCTGCTGACGTGAATTAGAGAATAGTCTAAAATAGACCAATAGATTCCTTATTGTTCCATTTATTTTAAACTTCCTGTTTGTTGATATCATGCAGCTCTGTGTGAGAGTTTCAGCTTAAATATTATTTTAAACAGAAAACACAATTATCGTGGAAACGAGTTATGCAGTGGTCAAATTATAAAAAAAAAAAAACAATATTGACATATTTCAGATTGTGCACTGCTGAAAAAAACAATAATGAAATAAGTACAGATATTATCAAATTCACAATAAAAAACTATATAAATTCATTATCATTATAACAATTTGAGTGAACAGTTAAAAGTTTTATAAGTATTAATTTAGGAAAATGCATCAGGGAAGAATTTTGAGCCCTTTATTGAACGTACCAATAGTAATTTACTTGAATTATTATGAAATGGTAATGAGAAAGACTTGAGCAAAATATTGGGGAAAAAATGACAAGAATAGTGTTACAGCATTGAATAGTTTTTACATGGCACTAATTATTTTAGTTAGAAATAATGTGTTTAATGCAAATGTTTAATGTTTTTGAAAGAAGTCTCTTCTGCTCATCAAGGCTGCATTTATTTGATCAAAAATACAGTAAAATCAGAAATATTGCAATTTAAAATTACTTTTAAATATAATTTATTCCTGCGATCAAAGCTGAATTTTCAGCATCATAACTCCAGTCTTCAGTGTCACATGATCTTCAGAAATCATTCTAATATGCTGATTTGCTGCTCAAGAAACATTTCTGATTAGTATCAATGTTGTGCTGCTTTAATTTAAAGTGAAATTGTCTAAAGAAATTGTCCCCAGGCTCCTCTACAACAATAACATAATGCTGAGTCACAGGTCAGCATAACAAGCACAAAAATGACCCGTTTCCCATCTACACAGTGATCGACAAGCAGTGCAAACAGAACAGAGAAGGAGGTCTGTATTTTTGTCTGAAACAGACAGAGAGTTATTGTGCTCGTGTCAGCTGTTATATGGTGGTGTTTTCTGTCTGCAGACCCCTGGTTTGAGATCAGTCCACATGAAGCAGGTTATTCTCTCATTGGAGCGTTTGTGAAAACGTCCAGCTTCGGCAGCCAGTTTGACGACGGCTGTAAGATCAAGGACCAGCCTGAAATGGACATGCTGTACCTGCAAGGTAACAAACTCTGTCACAGGAGAGTTTACTAATATTTGCGATATCAGCTTACACTGTACACCACTGAAGTCTGCTGACGTGAATTAGAGAATAGTCTAAAATAGACCAATAGATTCCTTATTGTTCCATTTATTTTAAACTTCCTGTTTGTTGATATCATGCAGCTCTGTGTGGCAGCGCTATAGCTGATATGGATGAGAACAAAAACTATATCTGGCAAACTATAAGAGGTGCAGTAGCATTTGTTCTGAAGAATCGGATTCTGTCTAAAGTTCACAGCCACTTCATTTTCACGTGAACTCTAATCACATTTGATTCCCCCCCCCAGGTTTATTTTCTAGAATTATATCTAGAATAGAAAATGGGATGATTGAGGGAATGGAGAAAGGTAAAGCATTTCTTATTGCTTTTATTTACTGATTTACTTTTATTCACAGAGACTGTTAATCTATCTTTCATATTTAAACAAATGGTCTTCTCATGTTACCCAATGGCAAACTAAATGCTAAACTCTATAAAGACCAAAATAAAACATGCATATGATGATTAAGATGATCTTTGATTTGATTTTAAAGACAGTGACCCATAGCACAGCTAGAATTAATACGTCACAAGAATGTTAAAATGATGTGCATATTTAAAGATTTGTATTATATGTAAGTGTAACATTTTATGCGAATTGTAAAACTTTTTTTTTTTTTGTAAAATACACATTACATACATCAATACATTGATATATGCTCAAAAAAGTCTATTTAATTTGTAAAGTACAACAAAATATTGCAAATCACATTCAAGCTTCAAACATAGACACAAAGGCATCTTACAAAAATTACAAATATTACATAAATATTATATAGTTAAGATAAATGTATTATTTAATAATCTATAAATATTTAAATATTTGCTCGTAAAGTATCCTTGTAAAACAACAAAATATTTAAAGTCACAATTTATAAAAATAACATTTAGAAATGTTACATAATTACATTTTGTATAATTAAATTACATAATGTAATTTTAGCTTCAAATCAAAGCATCTTTAATGGGTTTTGGTGAGAGAAAGTGATTGCAATGAAGGCCTTTTTCAGTATTGTTTGTTCAGTTTGTGTTTTCTTCAACAGATCCAAACTCGCCACCTGCAGACAAGTGTTCCCAGGTGCTCATGGATCTCGTGGTCATGAATCTCTCTGTTTTGAATGGCATTGATCCTTTTGATCTTCACGAATCCATACGAACAAATCTGAACGGTGAGCTTTTCCTAAAGTGTGCTAGAATTCATATAGAGGACGATATTTTGGACTATTTGTCACACTTAATCCAGTGAATATTTAGGGGTGGATAATAGGGGTATAACTGACAATGTAATGATACAGTGAGGTTAAACATCATAATTAATTTGTTCCATTTCATGCATTAAGTTGTCACAATGGGAACCTGCTCAGGGCCATGCACAGACCTTTTGATGGGCATGTGTTGAAACTGAAAAAGGACCCCCAATTTCATTAGCTAAATATCTGTAAAACATACATATATATATATATATGTAGCCTATGATACATAATGATATGTAATTATAACACTGGATTTTTTTTGTACAATTTAAGCAGGTAGCATGCATTAATATCTATTTTGGTAAAAAAAAAAAAAAAAAAAGAAATTAAAACAAGACAGTTTTTGTAATGTTCAGTAATGTTCCCCTCTTTTGCAGAGCTCACTGGAGGCAAAAGTCAGCATATTTTTCAAGTGGAAAAACTGAATCTCGCTGATAAAGAAGCTGCAAAACTGCACATGAGGAAGTATACCTTGGATATTTGTGCATGCTTGAGCGTTTCGTTTAGTTTCTGGCCATTCAGTACGTTGAACTGTCTCTAATATGTAGGCTTCTAGCCATTAAGCTTCCAGTCAGAATTTAAAAAGCCATCAAAATTCAAACCTTTTGAAGTTCCAAGAAGATTTATTCAGATGAGTGCGTTTGTATTATAGATGTTTGCTTCAGCATTTGTAAGTGTGCGGTTTGGAGGATCTGGGGCACGAAATATGACTTTCTCCACAACATGACAGGTAAGAACAGACTCGTTTGTTACCTGGCAATTAAATGCGAATAATAAACAGATTTCATGCTGTGATCCCACAGATAAAACAGTGCCTCGTGCTCTTCTGGAAAGTGAGACGAGAGACTATATAGACGCCGGAGTGTTGCTGAACTCACCCTACTTTTCAGTGCTGAGAGAAGAACGAGACATTGATCTCATCATTTCCCTGGATTTCAGCGACGACGATCCTTTCATGGTAATATACTCCTATAAAATTCTCTCTACAACAATGCAAACATATTCTCATAAAAGACGATTTTCCCCTAGAGATGTAAATTCTTTCATCATTTCTCCCCCTCATGTTGTTCATGTGTGACTTTCTTTAGATGGAGAGCTTGCTTCTTTTTTCTCATGACATTCATAGTGACCCCCAGAGGTCACACTAACCTAAATTCTATCAGGATGACTATCGTTAAAGATGACAGACAAATAGCTTACAGTTTGGATTGGCAGTATGGTTCTGTTCTGGGCAAGAACTCCCTGTGCATCCATGCAGCCTAGCATTGATAAGAGCAGGGAGAGCAGCGATAACCCCCCAAAACAAAACCATATGCAGATATCCACCAACACAAACTGAAAGCAAAATCTCAAAGCCTTAAGCAACAAGCATGTTGCCCTTAACCAATGAC